CCCCCCCCCCTGGACAAGCTCCGTGTCTCTATCTGCACTAGCCCTGCGCGGCTGATTTCAATGAGACAAGTAATAATATGGCTTCATAAAGTTATTGTCATAGAGGTCATTATTTGTTTTGCAGTGTACATATTTTAAAATGTATTTATAATCGGTATGATATTTTGATTAAGCAGTATTTTGCATAAGCAGAGTGATAAATGCTTATTTTTCTTCCCCTAAAAGCTGTTTTCTTTGGGAGCTTTTGAACGGACCCAAATCATCCGGTTACTGTACTGTGACGGTCAGAATGGAAACGGTATCAAGTTATGTGTGTCACGTCGTCTGACTCAATTGACCTTTTGCACTGTTGCACACGTATGCAACTACGATATCGAAATGATTTGGCAGACAACTCGAACTATCACGTTAACCTTTGGCACTTTTGCAACAAGTTACACGATGCAGACAATTTCAAAAATAATTAATTTTCTTTTCCCCACAAAGAGGGCCTGTAGTGAGTCTCCTGGTTTTCCTTTGCAGCTCCAACATAAAGAGCAATACTTGCTCTTTATGTCATTGTGGTTTCATGCTCCTAGAGAACCATCGTTTATTGATTTTAGAGATGTAAAATAAAAACAAAGAACTTTGGCATGTGTTGGTGTCCCAGAACCAGTATGTTTTTTTTATTTTTTTTTATAGTGTGTCACTAATGTGAAAGACTGAAAGATTGAGATGAATGAGACGCAACCATGTCTAAAGGTGTTATTCATGTGTCCTGTAAACTGGCATATTTTTATCTCTTGTTCTTTGGTTTCATCCTTTTTTATGATGTAAATATTAAAGCATTTTGTAAAGAAGACTGTAATGTTTCCTGTGGTGCTTTCCATTTGAATGGTAAATGGTTTAATACCTCATGATGATGATAAAAGTAATTACAAGTCTCCCTCCACTAAACTCAGATTTATGCAAGTAGGTCATGTGGTTACATGTGAAAATGGGATTAAACTTTTGAAAAGTTTTTTTTTTTCTTTTTTCAAAAGAATAAATTAATGATTAATGATAATTCTGTAATTTATCTGGAACAGTGTTTTTTGTAAGCAAAGGCCAAAATTAATTGATATCCTCTTCAGTGCGTTTCATGTTTCTAAAGACTGGAATCTTTGAAATATGACTATAATGATGTGATGTGATGATGGAAATTGGACTTGTTTTGACTAATCGTGGTCCCTTTTTACAAACAGTCCGGTCCAACTTGTGTCTCCGTGTATGTTAATGTCGGTGCACGTTCAGTAAAGACAAAAAGAGCAGGCGTTGGTCATAGCAGCATTGAAAGGTGCTGGTATATTTAACATTGGCGTTACAAAAAACATTTCAAACAAAGTGATGCTGTGTCATCGATTCCAAACAAATAGACATGAAAATCAATAAAACGGCATGCTCCAACTTATGACAAGTGACATTCCCAAAAAAGGTCATTTTTTTTTCATCAATGGATTCTTTTAATAACATTTTTATAAGCAATAACATATTCCATTTTATAGAAAATAAACATCTCTAGGAAATACTATACACAATTATATTAGTACATCACATCTTACATTTAAACAGCATCAAATACTTATATACACCATTAAATAACGAGCTTCATAAAAGGGAACGTTTGGTGTGGCGTTTTTGCACTTTCTTTTATGCTCTAATACTTAAATATGTCTCCTTTTTGATATGACCAGTACTTAAACTGACACCCTGTACGGGGCATTGTTACATAGCGTGGAAGAGCGAAAGAGGCTACATTTGAGATACACAAACAGACTGGTGTGTTGTGAAATCTGTGTTGAATGTATATCTTTCTGTGTTGCTGTGGTAGGTGAAACAATGATGCATCATGGCAATGTTTAACAGTAATACTTCTGAACTGTACATAGATGTGAGGTGAGATGACCTGACCCCCGGCTGGACCCTTGGAGCCCTGATCTGCAACCTGTCGGGTGATGATGTCGGCGTCTTCTGTACATATTGAATGTGCACACACACAGTTGGAATGGAGTAACACTCTGAAACAGTTTTTTTTTTTTTTTTTTTTCCTTCTTTTTCATTTTTAATTTCTGAATTACAACAAAGCCTGACATATACCAAGGGTGACGCAATGATGTCGTATAGTCATAATGCACATCAAAATACATCTCCGAAGATAAGAGCGTTATATTAAAATACTGCGTCCATTTTTTTTCTTAACTCTTCAATATCAGAATATTTAGAACCTGTAAAGCACGTCATCATGTACAGTTTCCTTTTTTTTTGTTTCATTTTGTCTCTTGTTTTAAACACAAACGCACACATTGAGATAGTACATCCAGTGGTTGGCTGCTGCTTTTTCGATGCAATGACATCATGAATTAGAGATGAACTTCTTCACTCACACAGACACATGAGGCACAAACACACTGATGATGTGGCTGTAGAATGACATTGTGGTTATCGCACATACACGCACGCGCATACACACCTCTTGGCCCACAGACAAGGTGGCCAGAGGGATGCTCCCGTCCAATCAGTGTCCGCCAGGTGTCTGAATATGATAGCAACCCATCCAAAAGCAGAACACACGCACATTCCTCGCTCTGCATTTCAAACAGCCCCCCTGTGCACTGGGCTCTAGGCACACAGTCTCTAAAGCGTCGTCTATCCTCCTGTTAAACAGTGCCGCTGCCTTCTGCCTTCCAGTAAGGGGCTCAGTCGGGGAAACACACTTCCAGGCCGAGTTCAGGGAGCAGCTATTCTTTGCGGAGCCATCCTCCGGGGCTTGTAGCTCCTCATCTCAGCCTTTTATCCTCCCCCAGCCCCACTGGCCGACGCGCCTGTCCGTCATCACACATCACCGTGTCTTCTAGGTGTAGGTGGCTGTTAGGACAGCATCTTTGTTTGCCTTGCTGGAGAGGGTGATGCTTGCTTGTCTGAGAGGTGGTGTTGGTGGTGGAGATGGTGAACTGGAATATCTTACAGGTCCTGTAGAAGAAGGGAAGAGAGACTGACATGAATTCAAGTCACTTTTGTTGTTATGTCTATAGTATAGAAGCTTTAATAGATGTACATTCAGGTACACCGCAGGTGGGAGCTCACGTGTGTGTGCTATACATGCACTGTAGTTGGGGCCTCTGTGCAGGTCGGCAGACACGTAAGTGAGCTGGCTGCAGTGTGCAGGAGCTGGGGGATGGATGCAGCTGGCCAGTCAACCAGCTCCACTGTGAAAGACACAGCGGGAACGCCTACTAATTGAGCTGGTGTGGTGGTGGTGGTGGTGCAGCGCTTTCTTTCCCCCTATCCGCCTCCGCAGCCCCCCAGTATCTCTCGTTCCCTCTTCCTGTCTTCTCTCTGAACTGCCAGTTGCCCATCCTTATGGCCTGAACTCAAACCAGCAGCTTTCGCTCTCTCTGTCTTTTTATCTCTCCCTCTTTCTGTTTACCTCTCTGGAGTAACTCATTCTTTTAAACCTTCAATCTCACTTGTTTTGTTTTTTTCTCAATTTCTCCATCCCCGAGTGCTGCCTGTCTCTCTTGTTGCCCTTCTTTTCTCTTCTTCTTTCCATCCCTGTCTCTTTCATTCTCTCGCTCTCTGATCTAACTGCCCCCATTCGTCTTTTGTTCCCACTCAGCCGCAGCACAAAACAGTTTTTTCTTCTCCCTCCCTGTCTCTCTGTGTAGTGTGTAGTCGTGTGTGAGCTTACAGGTAACCCGTTAATGAACCTGTGTGGACGCACACAGTGTGTGTCCCTTAGCTCTAGAGAAGCCACAGTTGAAGGCAACATGTGTGTGTGTGTGTGTATGTGTATGTGTGTGTTTGTGTGATTTCATCGATATATGTGTTCCAGCCCTGAACACAGGCAGAGGGGGTCCCATGGGTGGGGGTGGTTTGTGTGTGTGTGTGCGTGTGCATGTACGTATGTATCTGCTCTTCCCTTTGATTAGGCTGCTCAGCGTAAATTGGCGCTGCACAGACCCACACACAGACCTTCAGATCCCTCAGCTGATGACAGCTCTGCCTCAGCCCGCTAACAACAATCTCTCTCTCTCTCTTGCTCTCCTTTTTCTCTCTGTTTCACATACTCTATTTCTGCCGCTTAGACGTGGGAGTTGAGGTGAGGCGGGGAGAGGAGATGAGAGAGAAAGATGGAGGAAGGGATGAGGCGGGATGAAGGGAGGATGACTGAAAGAGTGGAAAAAATGGAGCTCGCAGGAGATGAGGGGTGAACAGAGTGAGGGAGCTGGAACAGCAGGGAATCGCACAAGCAAAATAAGGGTGGGGGGGGTGGGGAGAGAGAAATAACAAGAGGAGGAGGGAGAGAGAAAGGGTGGAGAGAGCATGTGGGGAGGATAGCAGGCAGTGATGCTGGGTGGGGTGTTTTGATCAGCAGCCAGCTTTTCATCCCTGTCAGTCTGCACAGAAGAGAACAGGAAAGGAAGAGGGAGGGAGGGAGGGAGGGAAGAAGAGATGCAGAGAGAGGGAGGGAGGGAGGAAGGGAGGCTACTGCCACTGCTGCCTCAATGCACCGCTGCTCCCTGCTGAATGTCAGCGTCTCTCCCTCTCTACTTCCCTCCCCCCATCCCTCAGCATTTGACCTTCCTCTTTGTGCTGCAGTGTAAACACGCCACCACCAGATGGCGTCTGTCTTGCAGGAGGGTTGACTGTGGAGTGGGCTGTCCATATTAACACAATAACGGTGACCCATTGCAATTGCAGTGGTCTGCAGCCATAACAGTGGGCGTTGAGTGACAGCACTACACGGAGGGCACATAAGTGTTTGTACAGCTACTGGCGGTTGATGGGTTAAGCTTGCCCAAGATCATTGGGTTCATATTGATTTGGTTTCAAAATATCCGAGATGAGATCCTGCCCGTCTTGGCATGGGGATGGATAGGGTACTTGATACAGGTGTACGAACACCAACGTGAACCCTCGTGTTCCTTAATTTGAATCTGACTCTGTTCTACAAGAGCTGACAATTGTGTTTTCTGCTCTGCACTGTATCATCTATCCAGCCATGGTGCTGCTGCTTGTGACAGCAATGTGTGAACTCATTCTTGATTTTTATTTTTGGCGAGAGGGGGGAAAAGAAAACAAATTGAAAACACAGCTTGGACGAGAGAGGCTGTAAATGTTCTAATGGGAACACAAACCTAAAACCGTACATCGACACATGTGAAAACACTAATGTCTGAGAGGTTGTTACCCTGGGTGGTGCTAAATCCTCTCCACACTCCATTCTTTATTATATGCATGACTCACTGTTAAAGCAGGATGCAGTAATAATTACGTCAAAGCTTTTAAACCCTAAAAACTAAATGTATACAGTGGTTTAAAGTTTTTTATTTTCTTACCTCATGTTTAGGACATTTTATGGAGAAATCATCCTCGTGGAATGTGCAGCCTAGGCAGGGAGAGAGAAAGAAAAGAAAAGGAATAAGCTAGAGTGTTAGACAATAACAATGAATGAAACAAATAGCATGAGGCGAATGCACACAACAACCCC